GATTGATACAAATGCGAACCACTAGCATTGCTTTGTGGTCATATCCCATGTATATTTCCATATTGTTCCAATTAGTTGAGTACTAATCTTAGGCCCATAAGTTGGATTTGCATTATTATTAATCTGATAAGATTACAAGATTGGTAATGCATTCAAAAGATTACAAGATTCAGAATGCAAATACAACTTAGAGGTAGAGATTATTCTGTTTTTTAAAATATTTTATCATTTCAATGTCAGTGTGTTGAATAAATAATCTTTTACAGCAAGTGTCAAATAACATTTTGCTAAAAAATATTACATGGCAAAATTGTCAAAAAGTAGATTAGAATTCTTCCTTCGTTGCAGATTTCATTATTCTCAAAGGTGCAGATAGTGTGATCTCTGACATTAAACTCCAGTGACCTGATCCTGTGTACACAATTTGCCCTTTGAAAATATAGCTAAGGAAACATGTGGAGCAGGTGCACAGGTTGGAAATCACAGGATCTTTTCCTAATTGCCAAGGCTGTGAATGGCATGTGTCTGTAGGTGCTGAAAGAGGGTTGGGCCATTGGAGGCTGATCAATCTTGCTTAGTCTGCTTTTGTTTTAGGAAGAGTGAGAGCAACACCGGAAACCCTGAACATTACCAGCATTGTATATAACACAGGGCAGACAACAATTGTCTTCATATTTACAGCTGTCACTGAGAGACTACATGAGATTTAGGGATAAACGATCATAATCATTATAGTCTTGTATTTATTCCTGCCCCTTCATTATTAGTTCTGTATATGGCATATTTATCTCTTAAATTAAGAATGATTTGTTCCCATGTAGTGCCTATCACTTGAGAATTTCAACGTGCTTTATGAGCACCGGGCTGAGTTTGTATCTAGCCCGGAACTTCTGCCAGAGCTCTTCCGAATCCCCCTGGAGCTCTTCTGAGTGTGCTACTATTTCCTTAATGGCACTTCTCACTCGGATCGTCTCTGTTGGGATGACAAAGAATTCTGCTGAGGTTTAGAGGAAAATGTGAATTTGAATTTGGAGCGCTAGCTCTTTAATCCTCCCAGCCCTCTTTGAAGCAGAGAAGTGATGAGTATTATTGCATCCATTTTCTAGACTGAGTTTCAATGGGTTTCCATTGAAACCATCTCTGCAGAGGTGACTTGCAGGTCTTCAGCTGTCCTCCACCATATGCTGCCTCCATGCTATAAATTGAAGTGGGAAGAGAACAGAGAGATTTGGATCCCAGAGCTTGTTTCCATGAAATTAAGTAACATTTGATTTTTAGGCACTTAAAAAGATGACTAAATTTCTTCTTCGTGAGGTGTGGGCACACACAAAACATAGTTTGAAAATAGTTGTCTGAGCTCTATCCGTCTAACCTATCACTGTAAGATTTGTTTTTTTAAAACACCTTTTAATTTGACCCTCTAATTTTAAAATTTTTGAGTGAATTTGTGTTACTTCTACTTCTTACTAACACATAAATTATTATTGCACAGCCTTCTGTTCTTGAACAAAAATTATTGGAGCAATTGCCTGCAAGAGACTGCACTAGAAGCTGCATTGGGTAGGTAAGGGGAGGAAAAAGTTATTAGTTTATTTGTATCAGAAGCCAGAGTATACATTAAATCATGCTTCATATGCCCTCTCAAAGATGCATTATAAATAAGTTGATTTTTATATTTCACACACTTTTTCATCTTTGAAAAGTTTTCAGATATATCCTCCCAACATAAATACACACACACAAAGTTAAAAAAAAAAAAAAAAAAAAGAAGTATTCTTGGAACTCTAGAGATAATCAGCACCAAAATCCTGACATTTTTTTCCCACTGTTTTCTTGTGTTAAAAACACACCACTTCTGTCAGTTATTGCTAGATTTTTTTTTCAGATGCAGACGTATTCTGCTACCAACATGGAAATGTCATTACAAAAACTTTAAAGTAGTTTTTCAAAAATCAACAGGATGGATTTTTAAATGCCTATTCATCAATAATGTCCTATCCCTAGGACAGCACTGAAAAAGCATAAAATTCTCTGCATTTGGGACTGCTGGATCCTATAATGGCTCAATGGTTAATTGCTTTATAAAAATCAGAGACAGTGCTCTTTCCACACCTCATTCTTAGGATGCAGAATTTGATTAATTGATGCTGGATGATTGGCCATCATAAGGTATGACATTTAGCCCAGACAAATGAAAGCTGGTTGAAAAAAAATTGTGTGCAACAGCATTGAAAAACAAGATGCGGAGGGGTCAAAGGGCAACAGGGAAAAGCTATTTGACGGTTAGCTCATATTTACCTTATAAATTTTTTAATAATGGTCGATGCATTTTAATCTGACTGTCTTACAGTCTGAAGTGTAAGTCAATGTGTAAGCTAATTGCAGTAAGCAAAAGTGGTATTTAATGCACTGGACACTTTAACTATCAAAGTATTGTATCTCTAATTAGTGTTTGTAACTGATGTGACAGCAGTTTACAGAGCACCAAAATAGTTCCTAATTTGTCAAGTGGGTCTGAAGCTTATGGCAGCTTTCTGATCATCTCCCTTGCCGCAGGACCTGAAAGCACCTTCAAAAAGCTTTCTCTCATTGATCTTTAGTCAGATGCTGACTGAAAAGCAGACAGTCCTGCCAGAAAGAAGATAGATAGGTGCTGCGCTAGCATGAAAAACACCGCACCCTTAATGAAAAAGGTTCCTGCATATAACTCATGTGTGTGTACAAACATATCCACACAGGGGGTTTTGACAGGGATAGCAGTCCCTGGAAATTAACAGGGAATGCATTTGCCATTTATGTTTTCATTCTTCTCACATATAAATGCCCACCATGAATGTTTGGAATGCACTAAGCAGGCTATTTGTTAGTTTCTGCATAGTTTCCCTTTTTGTCTCTCACTAAGGTTGGATGCTTTAATGTTTAGCTTATAATTTTCAGAGAGTCACTAAGCTAACACAATCACATAAGATAAATGCGAAGTTGTGGGATTGTCCTCAGGATAGACAAAGGATTATTTAATACTAATTTTGAGCTTGTTTAAGAAAAACTACAGTTTCAAATCTTCCCAATGTTTTGTCATAATCCGTTGTCATTTGTCTGGTGCTAAGTGATGCTGCTGGCCACAATAATCTATCAATAGTGTGTCGTCATTGTATTTTGGAATATTTTATATAATTTGCAAAACATCTCGTCTAAGTAAAGTTGCCAGCAGTGTGAATTTGTCAGCTATTCGTTTAATTTGTCAGGATAACAGAATGCACTATTAAAGACAGCACGGTGATTATCCCACCCACATCGTATCTCATGATCAGAATGCGAAAGGGGCACACTCTCAGCAGTTGTGGGGAAAAGTTCATTGAAAAAAATGCAAGCACCACATAATTAATGAGAAAATGTGTTATAGTTAACAAGTCCAACCAGCAGTTTTTGCCACTTACTAGCCTCGGTGCTCAAAAATGTTTATCTTTTATAAATGAATATTCAGAATTACAAGTTGCATTGCTGTATCTGTTAACTCAAGGTCCTTTCCAAGTAAATTATAGTTTGGTGTCAATTATGGGCAAAAGTGCATACAATTTAGCTGGCTTCACACGGGAAATTCAAATGACATACACCAATAATTAAAGTCTCTCTCTCCATTCCTTATTCTTGTTCTCCTCCTGTGTTTTGTAGATTGAAAGATGGTCCGTTCTCTTATGAAAATTGCAAACCTGAGCGTATTTCCCCAACATGGTGCTTTCCTTAATCATGTTCCTTTATCACTCCACACCAGTCCTTCTCCAGGTATTAGACTTATCACTTAATAGTTCTCAAATCTGCCTACACTGTCAATCCCCACCAACACCAACCTAATTTACTTTGATCTCTTAATGGGATACTGCAAGGGCCCCTTAATGAGTATTCCGTAATCCCAAGCTATCTCACACAAACCTATTGTTACGTGATATTCCTTTATATAAAAAGTTTAATGGATTGGTTTCTGAATATTTGGTCTCAGGAGTCCTTCATACTCTTAAAATTATTCAGAGACCCCAAACCTTTTTTTCTGTGGATATACTTATTGATAGCAAAAAGTTATTTAAGCATCCATTTTAAAATAACAATAAGCACATCACAAATTAGAAATATTCTTTAAATGAAAAATTACTGTAATTTCTAAAACTGGTGATGACAAGTGTAACATTGTATTACATATTTTGCAAATATTACTGTGGTCTAGATTGACAGAGATCGTTGGATTCTCATATCTCTGAATCTGCATTCAATTTATTTCAATATGTTGTTTTATGTGAAGCAGATGAAGAAAATCCAGTTTCCGATCGATAGACAGTTTGAAAAGAGTGGAGTATTTTAATAGCCTTTTCAGAAATTCTTTTTTGATACTACACCAAAACTTGGCAAACCTTTCTTAAAGGATAGTTGCACTGTAGAATCTGGAAACATATCAATGAACTTTTTGTACTCTGTTATATTGAAATTCATTGGTCTGTCTAGCATTTTGAATGGATTCTTTACTTCTGAGTGATTTCATATTATGCATTCATTTGGACAATACTAGCTTCCTGAGTTATATAGATCTCCCAAATGTTGACACATTTCATAATACATCAAAATATCATGTTTGTTAATATTACTACCACACATATGTAAAGTCTTTAAATATTAGGAAGTTGTCAAGCTTATGGTAGTAGATATACATTTTCCAACATTCACTTGAAACTAATTTTATCATTTATAACAATTAGCATTTTGCTTGAAATGATGGATTCAGTGCATTTTTATAAAATATCTGTCATATACCAATTCTAAATAACCATAGTTTGACCATAAATCTTTCTTTCAAGTAAAAATCCAGTTTTGTGAAAAGATCAGCTTGCAATTTAAATAACTGCACAAAGCTTGTCCTCAAGGCAACAATCATACTTTGCTTAAAAAAAAAAAAGATACACAGCTTAAAGGTTGATATTTAATGGAAGTGATCACTTTTACTTCTTCACCAGGGCATTCTTAAGTGACACTGGCTCCCCGCTCTCCGTGGACGTGCCTGGGAGAATGCAGCCACTACTAGTACGGTTCAGAGCAACAGCCTCAATTTGTTCATGCGAATGTGTTTCCTTGCATCGCTGCTGCACAACAGTGTAAGTTGTGACATGGCTTTTTCTAGAATAAACCATGAGGTTAGAAACATCTTCAATCCTGAGTATTTCAGTACCACTTCACAAATGGTATGAGTTAAAATGAAATAAATTTTCTTCAGTGATTAGTTGGTGCTGATACCTGCAAGCAAAACAATAAGCTAACAAATCTGAGGGTTGGTCCACTCATAAGGCAAAAGTATGATTCTCAGAGAAGAAATACTCAGTCTTCATGTTTGCACTTAAGTCTTTACCTCAGTAAACGACTGCACTGTTGGAATGTGACAGTGCCACAATTTCTTTCCCTGACTTTTCTTTTCTTTTCTTTTTTGAGACAGATTCTCACTCTGTTGCCCCGGCTGGAGTACAGTGGCTCCATCTCAGCTCACTGCAACCTCTGCCTCCTAAGTTCAAGTGATTCTCCTGCCTCAACCTCCCAAGTAGCTGGGAGTACAGGTGCCTACCACCATGGCCAGCTAATTTTTGTATTAGTACTGGAGATGGGATTTCACCATATTGGTCAGCCCGGTCTCAAACTCCTGATCTCAAGTGGTCTGCCTACCTCAGCCTCCCAAAGTGCTGGGATTACAGGCATAAGCCACCATGCCCGGCCCTCTTTTACCGACTTTTCATCCAGCAGATATTCAGCAATGTTAACTCTACAGGGCTCTGTTAGTCTTTCAATGACTGTATGTGTGTCTTCATCCAGTATGAAATATAACTTAATCTGTAAGGTGTTTTAGTGGATTTTTCATTGCTGGTCTGAAAAGTGGTGAGCAATTCTTGGCTTTTGAAGAGTTCGTCTTACCTACATATAAAATATTCAATTCCTTTTCCTTTAAACTCTGATAGATTGTACTCAAAATGAAGCTCCAACTCTACTAGCACCAAATATTATTCCAAAGTTCTGTTGCCTAAAACACAACAGTAATGCTGAGGGAAAGATAGCGTTGTCGTAGTTTCATTTCTTATTTACAGTTTTGCTCAGTTTCTTTGCAGTACATTCCTCTCTTCTGTGAGTCAGAGAACTCTCTAATATGACAGTTTCATCTTTTCATTATCTTTAGACCTCACTAGTACAGCCATGGGTTAAGAAAGCAAGTCTTTAAATCTCCCTTAAAAAGTCTATGGTAAAATATGACAAAAATAAAGGTAAGTTTTTAAAATTTTGCTATAAAATATTATTTCACTATAAGATAGTAACATTTTTGAAAAAAAAATTTTGAAAAGTTTTCAAAATTAAAAACTATTAATGAAAAACAAGACATGAAAGTATTCTTTTCCCTTCTGCATAGGTGTAAGGAAAACTTCAGGGTTTCACATAATAGTTTGTTGAAAGGTAATGAGGTTACAAGAATTATAGCAGACATAAAAAAATAATTAGTAAAAGCACAGTAAAAGTACTGATAACAAGCTGAGTTAATCTTTGAAAATGCACATGTCTGCAGATTAAGATTATGACCTTAGAAAATACAAATACGCATACAGCCATCTGACAAATGACATCATAGTTTACATAGCCTCTGGAACAGTCCACTGTGTACATACACTGTGAGAGAAAGTGGGTAAAAGATAAATAGCTTTTTAGTATTACTTATGAAAACGGTTTTGAGCTTTGGGACCCCCTAAAAGAGCTACATGGACCTTCAGGGGTCTACAGATCACATTCTGTGTACTGCTGATTTGAAGGATGTTCACTAAACTCTCTTAGGATTAAAATAAAAATCTTTAATATACTTGACACAACCCTCAAAGATTTCATCTCTCTGTAAAGCTCTACCCTCACCTCCAACTTGCTCAGGTACCTGGACTCCATATAAAATTCTCTTCTTCCAGGGCATGACCACCAAGCTCATTCTGCCTGAGATTCTGTATGGGCTCACACATAACCCAACCCCATCAAGTTGACTGCTTAATTTCCTTCAGTTATTTGCACTTTTAAAAATTCATATCTTTAAAGTCCAAAAAGGGCTTTGTGCTCACCATACCTAATTTATTATTTTCATATCTATCTAGGCTTTTCTTATCATGATGAATGACAATTTAGCTCTCCTACACATTCCCACATCACCCACTTTCCTCTAGGATTTTGTACTCTAACAATTCTTAGGTATCACAATAGTTCACATTATTTTGATTATATAAATATTACTGTAGAGAAAAGTAATATATTAAAAAGCTTTTTCATTTCTTTTACAATTTTTCCTGCAATCATGAAATGTCTTACTTTTCACACTTGCACTATACTATATATATTTGAACATTTAAAATTACTTTATATATGCTATCATACATTTATCACTATTTTTTCAAATGCTCAGAAATATCAAAAGATGTTAATCCCACTTTTCCCTTTAAAAATCTTTCACTTTACTCAAATATGTATTAATTATAGATTTTTAAATCTTTTTGAAATTATTTTTATCTGTATCTGTGTTAATTACAGGTTAATTTTTAGGCATGCCACACAGTTGTCATTTTAGCTTCTTTTCATTTTTATCCAATAAAGGTGGATAAAGTACACCAACAGCTTTCTAAGAAAGGGCATATAAGAGGTAGATACAGGGGCCTTGATGTCAGCAGATATCCTTGTCTAGTCCTATTCTTGATTGATACACTGCTGTCTTTCTGAAAGTGGTGCAGGGAGCGATATTATGGCGTTTCCTGATGATAGGCAGATTTTCATTTGATCCTTCTGTCAACATGAATTTCACCCCTACTGTTTTCCATGTCTAGTGTCCCTAAATTCTGAACATCTTGATTCAATTTATCTGGAAATTTTACCTCCTCCCTTTTGTGGGTGTGTTGGTAGGCAGGGAAGAATACTTATCACTCATCAGATAGCTATCTGGTGTGAAGAAGGAAGCTTGCTCTCTGACTCTCCAGTGTATAAGCTTTCAATACTTTCCCCATTCTAAACTCACACCTTAATTACTTTACCTGGTACCTCAAAATCCTGATGCTTTCAGGGTTTCAAACTTATGTTCCCTTAGCTTGCATTATCCTGTAGTCTGCTTTGTCCTGATAAAGCAGTAGTTGTTTCTCTACCTATTTCTATTTTCTAAAACTTCTTTTGAAATAGCTTGCCTGACTGCTGATTTTCTTTTGAGATAATGTGTTAAATTAAAAAATATTATTCTTCTTTCATTTTGGGTCTTGGGAAGTAGCAAAGATGAACTCTTCTGGTAAATCCGGCATCTTTCCCAAAAGACTGCTGTCCCTGAAAAACATTTCTGAGGTACACCTAATATGTAGGTTAAACACAGAATAACCAATTGTCCTGGTTTGCTTAGGGCTAAGGGCTTTCCTGGGATGTGAGACTTCCACTGTGATGAATGGTAAAGACGGAGGCAAACCAAAACTCTTGGTCACTCTAGAAGTAGCTTCCTATTATGGAATACCTAGAAATAGTGCATCCTTCTCAATGGGAAGCACTTCTGTTATTAAAGTATTTCCAGTGGCTTCAAATAGCATCCACAAATATTTATTGGGTATCTAGTATGCATAATGCACTATGCAAGGCACTTCAAAAGGAACGTAAGTCAGGTATCAACCCTATAAACTGCTAGGATCTTTTTTCTTTACTTGTCTTTCTTTTTTGACATCAATAAAGGTACATCACTTAGGTAAAGACACAAATCCTAGAAAATAATCTGCCATCTGTCTCACTATGGCAGATTTTGCCTTTGGAAATTCTGTTGTTTGTGTGTATATGTATTTCTTACTTTGTTTTCTTTTTTAAAATTAAATCATACCAATTGTTACCTTTGATTGTCACAGATGCTGGATTTTGTAGTCATGTCATGAGAGGGTAGAACACTACAAATTCAATCAGCAGATGTTGCCTAATTTAGAAGAGTGATATCGGTGTCATAGCTCTAGGGGTAGTTATAATCTACAGAGAAGCCCAGTGGTATAGGCATAAGAACAAAAAAAAGGTAAATAAACATAAACACTATAATGATCACACCAAAAAAATTTCTTAGTATTACCAAATATTCATTTCACTAATAATGAATACTTTTTAACTTATGTTTTACTTGCCATCTCTGTTGCCTTTTAGTATCTTGGAACCTTTGCTTTCCATGGCTTTATGTAAAATGTTTCTATATTTCACCCAATACTACCTTTAGGTCGGGCCATTTGGGGCACTTTTCCCTTGTCTTCATTAACTAGAGGCTTCTCTTTGGGTCTCCCTTTTGATGTGTCCTTTTCAACAGGTGAAGAGTCTCAGGACCAAAGAGACACACCTATCTGAAACATTCCCCCTACCCTCAAAACATGCTCAGTGTATTTGTGCTGCCAAATGGCTTTCAGCCTACTGCTAGGACTAAACTATCCTCATCTCTGAATCTGTCCTGCTTGAGCAACTATGCTACCAGAATGCATACTCCCTTGGCCCAAAGAGTGGCAAACAGGGGCATTTGCAGGGGAAGGGATTGTAATGGAACTTGGATTTACAGGCTGGGTTGGCCACTATCCACATACCATGCACAAATGACAGGATGGAGAGAGGAATGAGAGGAGAAAGGGGTTGAATCTTGTACAGAACCATTTTGTGCTTTCGTCCTAGGCCCTGCAAATGTTAGAGGTGGGTCTGTTCTTGCCATTACTTTTACTTCTCTCTTAATAGCTCCCCCTTTTCTACAGAAAACAGCGCATATTTTATTATTCCCAGGATTATATATTTGAGTATTTTCTCACTAATAAATTATTGCCTAATCCTGTATTAGTCCATTTTCACACTGCTGTAAAGAAATATCTGAGACTGGATAATTTATAAAGGAAGAGGTTTAATTGACTCAGCTCTGGATAGCTGGGGAGGCCACAGGAAACTTACAATCATGGTGAGGCTGAAGGGAAAGCAAAGATCTTCTTCACATGGCAGCAGGAGAGAGAGAGCGAGCAAGAGCAGGAAGAACTGCCTTATAAAACCATCAGATCTTGTGAGAACTCACTCAGTGTCACGAGAACAGCATGGGGAAACCGTCCTCATGATTCAATCACCTCCCATCTTGTCCCTCCCTCCCACATGGGGATTACAATTCAAGATGAGATTTAGGTGGGGACATGGAGCCAAACAATGTCACTATCTACACTTATGTATCAATGACTCTCATAAGTAATTTGCACTAGACTGTAACATTTAAATACTTTAAATACATTTGTTTTCTATGCCTATGCCTCTATTTAGAATTCCATGTTTACCTCAAAATTAACTTGCTTATAATAGAACATGCTACCACCACCTTCAAATCTGATTTTCTAGCTAAGTTCTCTACATTGCCTAACTAGAAACATGAAAATGTCTTTCCTATCTCCCCCCTTCTTTCATTAATATTCCTTCATTATCCAAATTCTGTGCACTGTAATATTTTAATCTCTATCAAACGTGTCCATTCTCCTAACCCTATGGTCTTTATACATTCATTGCCGCTTAGTGAATTCAGGGTCTAATTATTTAATTAACTGACTGACTTGTACATGGTCTTAACAGACCTTATTTTAATTTTCTTTATCCTGAAAACTACACTCCATACTGTCATGACTAACAAAAATCCATCAGTATCTCATCATTGCTTTCAAAATAACATTGAAACTTATCACGATATAGACAGTCTAGACCCTCTCCTAGTTCTCCAAGTCATTTTCTCAGTACCTACTCTTTGCTCTCTTATACAGAATGCATTAGAAGCACCACTCTCTGTAAGGTCTCCACACTTCCACACTCTT